ATCTTTTTTTTGTTTTTCCCTTTTTTCCCCCCCCCCCCCCCCCCCTTAGCCTTCTTCTGATCCTCTCATTACATCCTGATACCGCAAGTTCTCACCCAATGCTAAAAATTAAAATCATAATCTCTATTACAACTCTAAATTTGCTGTCCAGTGGCTATAGCTCCATGCTTTACAGGTTTTCCCATGTCACATTGGGGCCAGGGGCAGGATGGAAGCAATGATGAAAAAATTGTTCCACCTTTATTTTCTTTGAACACAGTCAAGCACCTGCATTTAAACTTTACAGATAAAATACAATGTCCATTACGGCCACGTGCTAGTTCATGCTTTCAGACCTTATACATTCTGATGTTTTATACTAGGACCTATTGCCTACACACACAAAAAGAAACCCACTGCAAGCCAGAAGCACTTTATGTTGGAAAAGCTACTTCAGCAATTTGTAAAACTTGTAAAAGGTATTATTAATATCCTAGGCCTAATATTCAAATTGATTAATGCTGACAGCTTCTTTTGCCAACAAAACTATCACTGAACAAGTGATAAATTCAGTGTCAACGGGCAAATTAGCAACTGGCATCTCTGATGTTCAACAGCGAGAAAGACCCATCAGTTCTGACCAAATCACTGGTCATGCTTTATACTGCACGTACATGAGCCTTATTTAAAAACAACGTAAGGATGACAATGGACTGGGGAAGAGGAAGAAGGAAATGCTACAGGGGAGAAAAGTTTACAGTCTACCCCAGCTGAACCATGGCTACAACATTACTCTTTTAACAGGTTGCCTACATTTATGCCACTCCAAGAGAGGAGAGTATTTTAATTAAGGCATCTTTACTTGTAGGGAAGAGTTGGAGCTCTTCACTAAGTATAGATAGACTTCAAAAATCCATCAGAACCGAATTTCATGTAGGTTTCATCAGCACCATGGACCTTGTCAAGTGTAACTGACTAAACTCTCATTGTCATTTTTAAATACGCAAGTTCAAAAGAAGCAGCAGATGCGATCTTCAAGATCTAGGACTATCAACACTAGGTTAACAGAAAGGGAAACGTCAGACACTTTCATAAGAGGGAAATAAGTAGCAAGGCAACAATATTTCATGCACAATTTAAGATATTCACAATTCTAGTTATACCATCGAAGATCCTTTCTTTGTCAATAAGAACAACAACCCCATTACCTATTTGTGGAAGACTTCACAGATTACACAAACAAACACTGACTCAAACATAACTTTACACCTCCAAATCTTACTGCTGACCTTCTACTAGCTGGTCCAAGGAGGAAATCTTCTTGGAGCCATCAATCGTGTAGATTGTTCTCACTCCCTGGGGCAGATTCACATTGTCAGACAGAGTTCGGGTCAGATCAGCCAGGAGAGCCTCAAAGGATCTAAACCGGTCAGGGGAGATGGCATATACAATCCCTTTGAAATACCGGTCTCCATTACGATAGAAACGAACTTTCTTGGCTTTTTTCTCAGAACTGAGGGTCTGTAGAGTACGGGTTCGGTAAAAGCTGCAGTGGGCACTGTGAGTAGGGCTGGGCAAACCATTTACCCGGGACCCTCTGCCATATCGCTGCGCTTTATCACGCTCATCAAAATGCTCCAGCTCCATATCTCTCCCAAAGGACATCTTGAAGTTCAACCTAAGGGATGCACAAGAGAAGAGAAAAAGTTTAAGAAACTTGCACATTTTAAGGGAGCTCACTTTGAGACTTCACGTTCTATACATGGCCCTTACAGAGGACTACTTTCCAGGTTGAGAAAAACATTTGAATGAAACCATGCGACGTTCACATGTTCATTTTACAGCTAACTCTCTTGCCATCCCGTAAAACCTAGTTTATAAGTTAGGCTTTTATACACCATAGAAATGCCACTCATGAAGCCAACTGCTAGCAATATGCAAACATTAAAAAGCATTTGTTCAAATTCAGTAAGAACTCTGAAAATGAGGTGACAAAGTTGAGCTACTGGAAAAAAAGAAAAAACCCATGAACTTTCTACTTTTTCTCATGTTATATTCAGGTGCTATTTGAGTAGAGTCTACCTTCTAGACTGTTTGCCCCCACTGAACTGTTTATTCCAGCTGTGATCTCAAGACGTGCCATTTCAGAAGGGCAACCAGTCACAACAAGTAAGCAATTAAGAACTTTTCAGAGGAATAGATGTTGCAGGTTGGTGATGAGAATCAGGACTACCACTGCCAGTATGTGGACTTAGTGGGTCAAGCCCACTGTTTAAAAGTCCTTGCGTATTCCAATCACTGGTCTCCCTACAGCCTAAGCTTTGTCATAAATTACTTCTGTTGTCCTTGTGTAAATACTTTGCATGCTCTGAACCAACAGAAGTGCTCAAATGTCACGAAATAAAAGCAAGATTAGAAGGAGACAGGAAACTAGTATTTTTCAGTGAGCAAGCTACTTTAGTGCTTAATAAAATTTGCAAGAGGTTTTATTAATATCCTAGGCCTAATAATCAAATTGATGAAAGCTGACAGCTTCTTTTGCCTACAAAACTATCACTGAAGGAGTGATAAATTCAGTGCTGATGGACAAATTAGCGATTGGCATCTCCCATGTTTGACAGTGACAAAAACCCATCAGCTCTGACCAAAATGATCCCAGTTGTTCAATATAGTTCACATAAATGGAAGTTCACATGTTCCGAAATGAAATCAGGGAGGTAGGTACTTCCATTCCTTTTCACGACCAACACAAGACTAAATACTACAAATTGCACATTAATCTTCACAAATAAAAGAAACAAAAATACAGAAAAAAAAAATTTAGAATGACCAAAACATCATTAGGTTCAAAACACCTTTCTTTTGATTTAAGAGCCACCTAGATTTGCAGTTGTCTGCAGAACAGCAAAGCACAGTAAGTTTATTTATAGCACAGATACACAGACCTAATTTAGAAGTGGTGTCTCTCATTGATTTCCAATAAAAAGAAAAAAATAGCAAGCACAAGCTTTGTTTCAACCACTCATAATTGCGTGACCATTAAAAAAAAAAAATATTCAGACCAGCTGTAAAACAGTAGGAGGAAATACAGAAAGACTTACGGATGCTCTTTAGCTTACCAAAGTTCGTATTAAACCAATGATTATACAGCTGGACCCTGATGCTGCAAAGCTGTAGGGGATGTGCTCAACAACTTCTGAGAGCTGTTCACGTGCTTGCCTAGAACAAGCGCTAAGGCTAACCACTGCAAGCACGGGGCCTTGGTGGAAATTATTTATCCTGCTTTGGTTACAGCTCACAACTTATTTTGTTACATTGGCACAGGATCGTGTGCTTATGTATATATGCAACATTTATATTTGTAAATACTTTGTAAATAAGTACCTAACATGTATATGGTGCAGTGTATATGTGTGCGTATGTGCAGATGTGTGTATATATACGTTTAGGTATATATATATAAACATATGTATAAATACACACACATAAAAGAAAAAGACTAATCTATGTTTTTCCTCCTCAGTATACATACACACATATATCCCCTTTCAATGAAAAGAACAAGAACATTTGCTGTGGTGTTTCACTGACAGTTCTCTATGGGTTAAATACAAAATATCACTCGGTGGCCGCAGTTTAGGATCAAGACTATACCACCAACACTGCCATGTTAAAAATTATTTGTAAGTGGTTTTACTTCATTTCTAATTCCAATGAGAACCTGTCATTCAGATTTAAACAATCCCAGAGCTCACAGTTCAGAAACTGTATCTCAAAAGCAATGCCTGTGCCAAGAAAAATGGATTTTTCTTAGGTCTGCTGTTTCATTTGCTCAAACCATCTCAAACACACGCACAAAAAAAAATAAGTTTACATGAAGATACACTTTTTTAACAGACTTTCAGCTTCACTAATTTTGGATGGGGGAAGGAAGAAGTGGGAGTTACTGCCCTTTCTTCCACACACTTACGCTTTAATCAATAATGGCTGTAACTCCCAATTACGCCCTTTAAAACAGAAATAGAGCTCCCCTTGAACACCAGTCCCGCTATTAACAGAAAAGCACGTTCAAACCACAAGGTCAGAGCAGACAAAGAAATCCTAAACAGTATTTGATCTGATCAGATGTTTCCGTGTGGATGCGTATAAATATATACTCATCTATATACAGATATAGAAAAATGAAAGGACACACCCCTGGAAAACCACCATGCCCAACACTTCACACCCTATACATCTGTTAAAGAATTATTTGTAATGCAGGTGTGGGTGAGCAATTACATAAAACAATCATACATGCCGATCAAAAAAAAAAAAAAATACATCGTGCAGCGATGTGACTGGGACCCAGCGAAGATCAATCAGACTAAGCAGCAGACCGACCACTAAGTCCTTGGGGGAGCGGGGGGAAACGTGGGTACACGCGGCAGCAGCTTGAAGGGGAAAAAAAAGGGGGTTATTCTGCTGGGGTAGGGGAAACGCGTCTGAAATAGGACCAGCCCGCGGAAGGCGGCATCGAGCTCTTCAGCCCGGCTGCGGGCTGCCAGCGCGGCGCGAACCGCAGGGTGACAAAAAGGAGGTGCGCTCGCCTCCGGCCGCGCGCAGGCAGGGCCGGGGGAGGCCCCCAGCCCGCTCCCCCGGGGCGCAGCCAGC